TGGACTTGAACTTGCGCGCGGAGATCTTCCGGTTGAACAGAATGTCAAGCTCACGGTATGAGCGTCCTTTGAGCTCAGGCAGGCCGAAGTATGCGCTGATGAAGCAGACGCAAGCTGTACCGCCCCACACGTATCCACACTTACCAGCCATGTTCCAGCCCGTAGGATTGAGCATCTGCGAGGCTAGGTAGATCATAGGAATCTCGGCGACGTAGTATGCGGCTCGGCCAACACCAGTGCTTAGCGCGCGGAGACGGACGGAGGACGTTTCGGCGATGATGGAGTATGAGATCGGACCCATGGCTCCTGCGAAGACGAACGAAATGACGATACCCAGACAAGCTTGGGCGTAGTTGGTCGCGCTGCTCTGGGGGATGGAAGCGCAAATCCCGAGAACGAAGAGCAGGCAGATGTTGATGGCGGTGCCCCCGAGATAGATTGTGCGGCGGCCGAAAAAGTTGCTGAGAGGCCACGCGCAGATGTTGGCTACCAGCTGCAGGCACGAGTTGATCAAGTTCAGCTTGAAAGAGAAGTCAGAGGACATTCCAGCCTCTGCGAATAGTCAGCTTTGCATCACTAAGAGCTGTGGCGATTCTTGACTTACGCTCGAAGAAGAACGTTGCTTGATTGGCGATCAGGTTGCCAGCGAAGTTCTGAGATGCGTAGATCAAGCAGGTAATGAGTGTTCGGCGGAGGTCGACTCCCTTGACCAGATCGAGCAGGGAAGGCTCGCCGCCCTTGTGTGCTTCGATCTGTACTGTGCGCTCCATCATGGCAAGCGTGTCTTCGGCAGCCGCCTGAGTTCCATTTCTACGACCAAGGCGCTTGATGGACTTCAGCGCCTGTTCCTTGCGCCCTCTGCGCACTAGCCACCATGGTGATTCGGGTGCGAAGAAGATGAGGACCATAAGAGGGGTCTAGGGATGTCAGCTATCGTGAGGAAACGGACGAAGAAGGTACTTACAGGAAACACCCACTGTAGGGCCAGAGGACCTCTCCACGCCCACTCGTCGTTTCGCTTGTTGTAGCTGTAGGTCGCAGCAGCGACAATGATACTTCCGATAGACCACGACATCTGGAGAGTAGCCGTACAGGCACCACGAAGAACCAGAGGAACGACCTCACTAGCGTAGGCTGGCGAGTTGGCGATGAACATACCCCACGGGATACCTTCGAAGGCTTGTCCGATGACGAGCACCGCGAGTGAGTCCGCCTGGGTACTGTTAGTTCCAAGATCTAGATCAGGGGTTCAAATACTCACAAAGAAGGAAATGAAGATGGTCGCATTCATCAGCATAAGTGCCAGCAAAGTAGTCCAGCGGTAACCAAGACGGTTGGTGATTGGGCCAGCGAGAAAGACTCCAATGAAGGCACCGCATTGGCCGGCTTGGAAGAGTGAACTCTGCCATTTGGTGGGAATGGTTTTGCCAACCTCGCCAGCGACCTGGACACCGTAACGTTCTTTGAAAGCGGCAAGAGCAACAAAGTTACCGTTCAAGAACATGTCGAACGATTCCATAACCTATTCGGTGTCAGCGACATCTTCTTGGAGATGCTAGCAGGTGCAAAGACTAACAATAGTAAAGCAGAAGATGAAAGCCCAAAAGCAAGCCATAGGATGGTCTCTCATGGCCTCCCACATTCCCATATCATGTTCGCGGCTTTCAGCTGCCTGAGCATCTGTCATGAGCTCCTTGTCCTCGAAGATCTCGGCCTGACGACTGAGGCTCTTCTCCAGGACTCCATCGTCGACCGCAGGGGTACCATCTCGCTTGGGTTCGGCAAAGCCCGCCATCTCGAATTAGCGTGTAAGTTGATTGGACGCCACGAAGAGCGAAGAACGAATAAGCAAAAGCCGATGCCAAAAGCCAAGCAGACATGGAGAGCTTGGAGAGCTTATATACTCTATGCATTCTGAATTCGACCTCGGCGTGGGTACGCTCTGCTATCATCAACCCACTTGAGCCCATGGGGCCCCGCGACAAGCTTTCAAGGGTGCTTGTCTTGTTGATGGGTCTTGATTGGCGGGTCTCTGGGGTAGGAAGAGGCCGGGGTCCGAGCAGAGCCGCGTAGTACTATCTAGCCTGAAACGTCATGCTATGGAGACCTGCTATTGACGCGAAATTCGAAAGCTAGGAAACGGCTGTAGCTTGTTTAGGTGATCTTGTCGTGCAACAGTGGATAGAAGAGCTGCGCGATACAAGTTTTGCGGAAGTACTCCCTCAAGCACGTTAGTGAGGCTGGAAAGTGGGATGACAACGTCGGTAGACCTCGTGTACGCGATGCACATGAAGCGAATGGGAATGACGCGGAAGTATGAGGGAGTGCTGTGTCCGATCTTACTTGGTAATGATGGGCATCGTAATCAGACCCGATGGAGGGCAGTAAGCCCGCTACCGACTGTGATAGTTGTCCATGATCGCTATGCCTTCAATTGCAGGAGTTTTGAGCTCAAGGTCCCACCCCCATGGAGAATCTGTGGGGACTACGAAGTTCCTAGCATGGTAATGCCTGTGAATCCAAAGACCGAATTCTCGGTTGGCCTGAGATTGCCTGTTTGCACAGCAATGAACTCGTACGAGCGGCCAATGTCGGAGACTACGGCCGGTCATGGGCAAGCGTCGGTGAATCCATGAGCACTATGAATCCTCAATCGCATGATTCCCAACATGCTTGATCTGTGGGGTAAGTATCATTCCTAGGCGGTGTCCGTTGGAGAAGACAAGAAATTCATCAACCGCGCAAAGAGCCACGGACGGGATACAACTTGCAGACAAGTAACAGCCACCACGTTGATCCGACGAGGATTGCTCGGTGCTCTGGGTATATGGTTTCTGTATGTATTGCATAGTAATCAAAGCTAGGGCACGTTGCAAAATAAGCCTTCGCTGCGCGTTCTAGAAGCGAGGTCGGCATGCACCAGCGTTCAGCACGTATACCGCTTTCAGGAAGCGGGCCGCATACCATTGTCGACATTTGCACGTGAGAATGAAACCCCTAGGTGCTGTCTTGTCCTAGTCACGACAGTCGCTCGCTCAAGCAGTGAAGGCGAGTTGTTCGCCAGCCATTACTCAGCTGCAACGCTGAGAGCCATGACGTAGCTGCGACTGGCACGTCACCCGAACATGAACGGGTGAGTTCAACATCGGTCCAACATGTCTTGCAAGATTCCGCCTGAGCGTTCATAGACCCCGCGAGGTCTTCACTCCCGGTTCGCAGGGTTGTCTCTGAGCAAGTTCTATAGACACATTGAGTCATGCCGTACCACATTAAAAGTTGTTGCGACAAAGCTCTAAGACAGCTATTTTACTGTCCGTAGCCGTCTAAGCGTAGCATCTTTCCATGCGGAAGTCCGGTGTGTCACCTTGTTCCACGAAACAACTGCCCAACATGAATCCTATGTTAACATGTAAAGATGCAAAATATGCAACCCAACCTCAACTTCGACTCCAGGGTACCCAGTTTCCTCTTGAATGGGGTGGTGTGAAACATATGTTCAAAGACTAATATCTCAATCAGGGTAATGGTTTTGGGGACTGACTGATTTGCGATAATGGACCTGCCGAACATCCGGGTCTGCATGTACTGACTTCCGCGTGCATTAGATCCAGGCAATCGACATCCAGTGTGTATAACACATCCACTTATAGCCGGGTATAATCCCGCAGATGCGAGCTTCGTCCCTCACAACGCTGCTTCCTGAAAGAGAAGGCGCTCTGACAATACGCAGCCAGCAGCGGGAAGCTCAGATCGCGCCATAACGATAACGGGAACTCATTAGACAGTCTTGGGGAAGATCACCGGCGCATGTATGAATGAGACACATCGTATTCATGTGATGGCCCAGCGGCTTCCACGCACGGTATTGGCAGGCGTCCTAAGCCGACGAGGCAGCGGCAAGCCGTACGACATGGCGCAGAAACGCCACGGCGGCACGGCTGGGGGCTTACAAACAAGGGAAAACGAGGACATCGATATCGCTGCAGCAAGGCCATACAGTCAAGCATGCGTGTAGCGGGCAGAATTGAAAGCATGTGGGTGGCATGATCATGGCGGGGGAGATGCACGCGAACTGACTGCCGAAGCTAGCTCTTCTTAGCGTGCCAGTAGCGCCGCATCGGACCGCCTTGTCCTCGCCTCGCCGCCATCTCTATCGCGTCCATCTTCTCTTTCGTGAAATACCAAAAACGCCCTAGCTACAACGGGACCACGTTGACAGGCTGTCAAAGCAAGTTCCCTATCTTCTCGGAACCATACGCGCCTGCAGCTGTACAGCCTAGTGGTGTCTCTACCCACGACCCCACCAGGAAGAAAACAGCGTCCATACCCTCCATCTGCATTTCGCGATTGGCTGGACGGACACGAGAACGACCTCCCCGGCCTCAAGTTTGTGCCTGAGGCCCTTCTTTTGTGTTGGCGAGTAAACTTACGCCGTCATGAAGCAAACAGTCCCAGGTAGCGCCACCAGGCTGCAAAGTTCCAGCCCAATACGTCACAGTTTGCTCGCTCTCCAACCATATACCTAATGGTCTTGTCGCTGCGGCTGTAGTGCTCTCGCTATCGGTGCCTATTTTGGAGATGTCGAACGCCTTTTTGCAGCTCGCTGGTGGCGGTGAACAGTAAAAGTCGAGCTGTCGTTTCCAGCGTTCCGACCTGGGTGGCAATGATAGACATCGCATTGTATGATTGGACGCTCTTGCTTGGAAGCAGGGATTCATTCCATGGTACGTTTGATACATGTACGGAAGAGTGGAGAATCGCTACCGTGGAGAGGGTCGACCATGGCTCTATGCATTACGTCTTCTTCCGTTAGAATACGTGCGGCTTCTTACTGTGATCCGCATGTGACTGGAGAAAAGTTCGCATCTTCCCAACGATCTATTCCAGACATCCCGGCATTTAGCAAGCGGAAGCTCGAATTATCGTTACAGAGAAGCGTCAATCTTTACAGGAAGCAACTCTCGAGCACCGTGGACCTTGCGATGATGAAAGTCGACATCATGGAGCAGACTCGGAGCAAACCTGCTTCCACCGTCTATCCATGGATGGACACTGAACATGTCACCGGGCACTTGAGAAAATGTTTCAAATTCGTCTATGACAAAGTCAAGTTACTGAACGGCCGGGTGGACGGCATGGAAGCGCAAATGACGCATCTCAAACAGCTTGTCGAAGACGTCAAGACAAAGTCCGAAGCGGACAACCAAGGACTGCAAAGCGATATTGATGCTCAGAAGGCGCAGAATCAGCAGCTGCGAAACGAACTGGATGCTGAGAGGGATCGTAACCAGCGACTAGAGACTACGATCAAGGATTCACAACAGTCAATCACCCGGACCGGTCAACAGTTGAATGATCTCTCCAACCAGTTCCGTGCCCACGAGACTATCGCTACTGCAAAGTTGCAAAGGACAGATCGGATCGTGCCAGATCTTACGCAGCGGATAGAGTCGCTGAAACGGTCCGGCAATACCTACAGTCAGAGCGTTGTCGAACTGCGAAACCACCTAGAAGATCGCTTCGAGACAGCAGTGGTCCATACCCAAGAATGCTTGCGTCACAACAAAACCGCCTGGATCAAAGGTCTAGAACTCCTCAGAACCGAGACGGCGGAAAAGCTCGCCACTACGACAGATCACTTCTCCACCGCTATTGATACCGTGCAAGCACAATCCCGCGAGCATACGGAAGCGTTCGAAAAAACAGCTCTGGTCCTGGACCGTAACTCTCAGCGTATGGAAGAGCTCGGAAATGCGATGGTAGAACCACAGCTCCTGGAAGGCATGAAACACCGCGTCGAGAAGCTTGAGAATGCTGTGGTATCGTATGATGCGGCACTGCAAGGTTCTCAGGCCATGACGACCAGACTTGATGCTTTCGATTCCCGTCTGGGATTGTCGGAAGTCGCTCTCCACTCCATTCGAACGCCGACTTTGACACCCCCGACTACCACAACAGCTACCGCCGCTCTCGACGATCCTCAGAATAAGGTCGACGCAGTCTATTTACAGTTGAAGAATGAACTTGCCTCATTGAGTAATTGCAAAGACCGACTTGTCGCATTGGAAAAGCACCGCGGTACCCCTGCATCTCGCAAACTTGACAATAGGGTCTGCGTACTGGAAGAGAACTACGGCAAGATGCGCAATGACCATACAGGAATGACCGCCAAGTGTGTTACCCACGAGCAGTTCGCTGCAGCAAGGAATGCCGATGCTGCCTCCCTCCAGACGACTATTCAGAACCACCGGGAAGAGGTGAAGCAGAGGATGGAGTATAATGTTGTACTCCTGAATGGGCTAAGGGGCCAGCACCTACAAAATATAGAGACCTCTCTCAAAAAGGTCGTCCAGGATAACGCATTCCCCGTGAGTACCTACCACATCATCTCCATGATGTCTGCTTAAGATCATAAACTAATAAATCGGACTAGCACCTACTTCAAGACCCAGGAAATGCACAGCCTGCCCGAGCAACGGCACCACAGTCAGCGTATCCATCACCACCCGCGACAAATCTGACACATCCCAGGCCGACGCAAGATACCTGGTCACCGAATACACCACCCACTCCGGTAGCGTTTCAACAGGCCATGCACATGCAGCACGCTCTGCTACTTGCAAAAGACGCTGCGTCTGATGCTCGACAAGGAACCCAGCCAGTCGCCGATACCATTGACCTCACCGCACCTGGACAACCCACGTTCTTTCGACAAGTGCCTGAGAAGCGACAACAAATTGATCGACCGGCGCAACAGCAGGGTCAGTATTCAACGCAGCAGCAATGGCGGCAACAAGTGCAACAACAGGCTCAGCAACAAGCTCAGCAACAAGTACAGCAACAAGTACAGCGACCAGCACAACAACAGCATCTGAACCAACACGCCCCATCAACTGCCATGGGCGTTATGCAGCAAAGGCCAGAACCCGGAACGCAGATGGAGTGGTCAACCTGAGGGCATCACGATGTGTGATCACCGAATGGACGGAAGTTGCAATAGGCGAGGATGATACCATGGATACGGACGTACGGAATAAGCACTGGAATCGGAGAGTCTGAGTGAAATGTATCAGTGGAAACCTAGGGGTGATTAGGTAATGTGTTGGACACTGTAGAAGGGTTTTAGCTGATATGCTACGGTATACTTATAACCTGGTTATACGTCTTGATGCGTGTGAAAGTGACGTGACCAAGCTCATCAGCGTCTCAAAGTGATGTTCCATCACGAAGCTAGAATCTTTCACCACACTGGCATTACGATGACGATACCAGTGTCATAAGGAGGATGGTGACGCGATAGTATGGATGCCACTTGACTCATAGCCGCGCTAACGTATGCTGTATTGTATTGTATTTTACATTTTTACTATTTGCTTCCCATCACGGCGCCTAGTTCTTCGGCTTGTATTCGGAAGGGTTGACCATAAGCTCGGGCCTGACGTACTTGTCAAAGTCCGACTCGCTGATGACCTCGAGCTTGAGCGCAGCCTCCTTGAGCGTAAGGTTGTTCTTGTGTGCGTATTTGGCGGTCTTGCTGGCAGCGTCGTAGCCGATGACGGGGTTGAGGCAGGTAACGAGCATGAGACTGTGTCAAGTTAGCTATGTGATGAATCTATAGTTAAGGGAGAGTAACTCACCTCTCGCTCATGATAGAGCTGATGCGCTTCTCATCCGCCTCAAGACCGGCAACAAGGTTCTTCTCGAAACTCCTCATGCCGTCGGCGAGCAGACGCGAGCTGTGGAGCAGATTGCGGATCATGACGGGCTTGAAGACGTTGAGCTCGAAGTTACCCTGGGATCCAGCGAAGGTGGTAGCGGCCTGGTTACCGAAGACCTGGGCGCAGACCATGGTGAGGGACTCGCACTGTGTGGGATTGACCTTTCCGGGCATGATGGAGGAACCAGGCTCGTTCTCGGGCAGCTTCAGCTCACCGAGACCGCATCGCGGGCCAGAGCCGAGGAAACGAATGTCTTGGGCGATCTTGAACAGCGAGGTTGCGAGGGTGTTGAGCTGGCCGTGGGCCTCGACGATGGCGTCGTGGGCAGCGAGCGCTTCGAACTTGTTGGGTGCCGTGACGAAGTCCTTGCCGGTCATCTTGCTGACTTCCGACGCAATGTCCTCTGCGAAGCCCTTGAACGTGTTGATGCCAGTTCCGACGGCTGTTCCACCCTGGGCCAGCATCTTGAGGCGCGGGAGACAGGTCTTTATCCGCTCAATGCCAAAGTCGAGCTGCTGTACGTAGCCAGAGAACTCCTGGCCGAGGGTCAGGGGTGTGGCATCCTGCAAGTGTGTCCTGCCAATCTTGATCAAGCTCTCCCACTGGTCGGCCTTCTTCTTCAGCGCGTCCCTCAGGCTGGCGAGAGCAGGCAGGAGCGACTCCTCGAAGTCGAGAACGGCGGCGATGTGCATGACGGTGGGGAAGGTGTCGTTGGACGAGGCGGACATGTTGACGTGGTCGTTGGGGTGGACTGGCTTCTTGGAGCCCATGGTGCCGCCGAGGATCTCAATGGCGCGGTTGGAGATGACTTCGTTCGCGTTCATGTTGGACTGGGTGCCGGAGCCCGTCTGCCAGACGACGAGGGGGAAGTGGTCGATGAGCTTCAGCGAGGCCACCTCCTCAGCGGCCTGCTGGATAGCCTGGCCGAGCTTGGGGTCCAGCCCAAACTTCATGTTGACCGTGGCAGCGGCGCCCTTGAGGATGCCGAAGGCGCGCACAATGGGCGGCGGCATGCGGTCCTGGGGCTGGTTGATCTTGAAGTTCTCGAGCGAGCGCTCCGTCTGGGCGCCCCAGTACTTGTCCGACGGGACCTGGATCTCGCCAAAGGCATCGCTTTCGGTGCGTGTGTTGGCCATGCTGCTGGTGACGCTGAATTGGCGGCGCTGGAAGAGGCTCTGCGTCTTCAGCGGAGTGCGGGGAGAGGTGGAGAGGGCACGCGTGCTGCGGGCACAGCAGAAGGAGGGGCTGGCCTTTGCATGTGCGAGTGATCGTAATGCTCCGGCCTCGGCGGCGCGGAGCTTCGTTGCGCTTCGGAACATGGTAGCAGCAGCTGCTGGCGGGGGGCAGGATGGGGAGAGGGGGTGGAGAAGACGCCGAACTGGCTAATCGTGTGCGCGGCGGAACTAGAGCGCAAGTCGCAGGTCAAAAGACAGAAGATGGATAATTGGGATAATTGCTGCGACGCAAAATGCTGCCGTTCCGAGCTCTGACCTCATGCTCGCGGGAATTGCCTCCGGTCTCTCCCGCGGCATAACTCGCCGTCACATGACTGGCGGGGTGCCAAGCCCAAGGTGGATGAAGGCTCCAAGAACGCAGACTTGAGCACCTGGGCATGAAAGAATGTGGTCGGCGTGAATTTTCTGCTTACTTGTACCGCCAGCTCAGAATACCGCCGCTCAGCACCATGTTCTCCTGCCGCTCGCCTTCCGCACTCCGGCGCCAAAGCCTCAGCATTCCAAGGTTAGCCCGTGATGACTTCCGCATTGCAACGTCAAGCGTTCCGTCGCCTCGTCTGCGCTGATGCGGCGTCTCGCTCATGTCCCACAGCCCCAGCCAGCCACTGTTCCAACTTTTCCCATTACCTCGCGCAGGGCGCTTGTAGGGCCGCGTCTATGCCATCTCCGCGAGACTCTGGCTCACCCTCTGCATATATATGCTTTGGCCGCTCCGGTCGGGCTAGTGGAGTCTCTGCATAGCCACCGATCAAAAGCTTCGGCATTATCGGGCACACCCTGTTGAGTGAAACACACCTTGTACCGAGAGCCTGTCCCTACCCAAACTTCCGCCTGCATCGCGCCGCTGGGTACGGCTGAGGGTCCGATTTATTGGGTGATGATGAGGGCTCTTGCATTCGATACTGACGATCTAGAGCTATGAGGGCAAACGACCAAGTACGTCTGGAAGCTAGGTCGCTGCGTGACGCCTGGAACCATGTGCCCTGCGCTTTCCGTCTTCCGACGACTGGTCATATTAGATTAACGTAGCGAGTCAAGTCGGAGTGCACCTGATCTGTCTCCACCATCCTTTCGATCCATGCTGGGCGCTCGCCTTCGAGCGTGCCAACGTAACATGGAGCTAATAACCCCTCATCTTCACCTACGGCCCAGTTTCCAGCCTCCACAAACACTCCTGTTTGCATCTGCGGTCTGCTGTCTTTTGCAGCCTGCTATTGTGTCTTCAAGCTCACTCCACCTTTGCATTACTCCGTCCGTGAAGCACGGCTTCAACTGGGCCGCACGTACTTGCTTAGCCGCAGATAAGGCTCCCATGACGCTGATCGAGCCTTCTACCACGAACCCCTCTGCCCAACGACTGCCTCAATCAAGGCCGAGTTGTTCTGACAGTTGTTCGCAATCGATACACGATAGCGTCAACATCCGCGTTCCTCCAGACCTTTGCTCGCCACCGATCGACACAGCTTACGAAACGACACAGCTCGTGAAAAAAGGTGCAAGACGTCTGTGGAACTGCTCGTATGGCTGAGTCTGAATACGGCGCGGGTCCCTGGGTTCACGATAGGATAGGCGCTCGAAACTCAGATGCAGAGCTGACTGCCCCGCTTCTCGCCGCGCATACACCGTTCCAACAACAACTGCCAACGATATATCGAAATCCATACATGTCCAATAGCAGCCCCTCCATGTCTCAGGCTCAGGATGCACCAAATGTGCCTACCAGCAGCCACCCACAATTATGTCCAGCTTTGCCACCTATTGGAATGCGTCACCACTACTATGCTCCTCATGCACACTCGTACCAGTTCACAAACCCTCAAAGACCATCGCCAACCTGGAATGGGCCTCCGCACCTTTATCCCGGCCAGGCATTCTACGACCCTTCTCAAGGTGACCAGCTGCGCCATCATTTAGGAGCACCGGGTCACAACTTTCCGCTACTAGGGTCACCACATGCCGCGCCTCCCTCGAATCCCCGACATCGCAATGATTACAGAAGACACGACCACAGAATGAGTGCCGGGGCTGTGGCAGGTAGTATGCCTACTGACAACACACGCTTCCCCGAACCACGGGGCTCAGTAGCACCCCCGGAAGCCCGGTTTCAGCATCCGCGACCACCACTTCAACAGACAATCCACCCAGGTGAGGCACTGTATTCTGGATTGCCTGGACGTCCGTGGCCGTCACACGAGGTTCCAAGCCGCCGCTCAGACCGTAGCGTATCCCCGCGCACGTCGAATCGCCGTAACTTTGAACGATACTCGGTTGACCTCTCCCACTCCAGTACGTCGTCTGACGCAGAAGAAGCGGCTGCCCGTGCGCCGCCGCTGAGTCGTATGAGGCATCGATCTAGAGAAGTGCGGCCGCGTATCGCGGGCCGCTACCCGCCTCAATTCGATCCCAACATTGCTACCGCTCGCCAGATTGAACAATTGAAAACCAGTCTCCAGCGCCATCTACCAAGTACGCTTCCAGAGAAAGCGTCCAAGGCTTGTGACATTTGCCAGAAAGACTATGCCGCTACACGTGTGTCGCCTACGGAAGAGGAAGAGATTGCGATTGAGCTCTCGTGTGGACACACGTTTGGAGAGTTCTGCATAGGTCAATGGGTAAGTGGTAGTCGCATGGAGATAGCTGATGCTTGCTGACACGACTTAGTTTGATACGTGCAGAACACACAAGAACAAAGTTACCTGCCCCATGTGTCGGAAGCAGCTCATCGAAGCACCGGCACCACGATTCATGCCGAGCATGATGCAGGGGCAAGCGTTTCTTGATCTGCTCGCTCGCCAGAATATGCACGTCACTGATCTCTACGGCCACTTTCAGCAGGCGTGAGTGCTGTGAGGTGTTCGACTCAGGATGCGATTTTCGAAGCTATGATATCATTGTTTTACACGGATGGCCTTGGCAGGGCAGTCGAGGCGTTGTAGACAGGTAGGGAGTTTTGGTGAGTGTTGCACACTAGGTGCGTAATGGGGTGAAGAGGCATCAGACTGGATATGTACATAGCATGGTGGTCAGCGGCATATAAACATCAGCATGTTTGTGGATAGCACTTTTGCATGTGCAGCCCTTGCGTCGATCTGGGCTCCACTTCCCGGGATGCCTGGAATTCATCGTTGCCCGGAGCCCACCTAGCCCCAAACATGCACCCCGCCATCAACACAAACCTGACCCGATACACCCAAACCCGTCAAACAAGACATCGTGAGAGATACTGCGCTGCATGACTGCTGTCGCCGATTGCTTGCGCCCCCACTGCCGCCTCTTTGCTTCTTCGTGCCTGCTTGCGCCCCACGGCTCTTAGTTGCTGCCATCCACCGCTCCTTCCCCGTCGCCCAGTTGCCATCGCGTCATGGAGGACAGCAACAGAGACAGCTTCCAACTGCCCGCCCCGCCCCCTCCACTCCAGATCCGCGACAACGCAATGGACCGCCCAGGCACCCCGACGGGCGAGGCCTTTATGAGCCCGCAGCAGACGCCCCAGGGCAGCCCAAGCAAACACCACCAGCCGCCCGGCGCATTCGATCTGCCGCATGTCTTCGAAAATGCCATGCGGCTGCTGCCTACTATGGGCTCGCCATCCAAGACGAAGCCCGGATCGCCCACATCCCCCAACAAACTGCAGATCGGCAGCAATGGCGCTGACTACGGCAACATGGAGAGTCCCAGTTTCGCCCCGGGCAGCCCCACACGCAAGTCGAACCAGGAGAACACGCCCCCGAGTGGCCGCCCAGGCCTGCAGAAGGAGTCGAGCTACCTCACACACGCAGCACAGTCGCGGCAGGAGCCCTACAGGACGCGCGAGGACGGCCAGTCGACACGCTACATCAACGGCCCACAGCGTCTTTCCCCGGAAGAACTCGAGAAGGCGAGAAAGCCAGCCGTAAAGCGCCTGGCAAACGTGACCCAGCTGTGTAGGCTGTCTCTCCTATACCACAGCCATCCAGTGCTAATGATTATCTAGACTTCCTCGACTACTACTACGATCTCCTCACCTACGTACACAGCCGCCAGAGCCGCCTGACCCAGTTCAAGGCTCAGAACCCTCCCCCTCCAGACACACCCGAAGAAGAGTACAACGATGCCCTCACACAGTACCTCGGCCGCGAGCGTGCCAACCTACGCAAGCGACGCACCCGGTTAAGGCAGGGTGATTTCCAGATCCTCACACAGGTCGGACAGGGTGGCTATGGACAGGTCTACTTGGCTCAGAAGAAGGACTCGCGTGAGGTCTGCGCTCTAAAGGTCATGAGCAAGAAGCTGCTGTTCAAGCTGGACGAGGTTCGCCACGTCCTGACAGAGCGCGATATCCTTACCACAGCTAAGAGCGAGTGGCTGGTTCGCTTGCTCTACGCCTTTCAAGACGACAAGAGCATCTATCTTGCTATGGTGAGCCACATCAATACCCAGTCTTGAACAGTTTACTGACAACTGCCAGGAATACGTCCCCGGAGGCGACTTCCGCACCCTTCTCAACAACACTGGTGTTTTGCACAACCGGCATGCGCGCTTTTACATTGCCGAAATGTTCTCGTGTATTGACTCGCTACATCAGCTGGGTTACATCCATCGCGATCTGAAGCCCGAGAACTTCCTGATCGACAGCACTGGCCATGTGAAGTTGACCGACTTCGGTCTTGCAGCTGGTATTCTTGCACCCTCCAAGATTGAGTCGATGCGCATCAAGCTCGAGTCCGTCAGCGACGTCATTTCGCCATTCGGCCGACCCATCGAAGAGCGATCAGCAGCCCAGCGACGAGAAAACTACCGCTCTCTTCGCGAGCGAGACGTCAACTACGCAAAGAGTATCGTTGGCAGTCCCGATTACATGGCACCTGAAGTATTAAAAGGCGATGAGTACGACTACACAGTCGACTACTGGAGTCTGGGATGCATGTTGTTCGAGGCTCTGGCCGGTTACCCGCCATTCGCTGGTGCCACAGTAGACGAGACCTGGCAGAACTTGAAGCAGTGGAAGAAGGTTCTACGGAAGCCCGTCTACGAAGACCCATCTTACTTCCTCTCGAAGCGCACATGGGACCTCATCATCCGTCTCGTGGCTTCCAAGTCTACCC